CTGTATGGAGGGTGACAAGCAAACCATTTCTTTGCTGTCACCATCACGTCTTTCATTCTGTTCATCACTGAGCACCGCGGGAAATTTACGCGTGTTCAGATCTTCATTAATAATTCTGTGTACAGTGACCACACCAACTCCAAACTGGATGCTAATTGTCTTTAGAGACATATGACGATCTTCATGCGGAAAATGCGAATTTTCTTAAATAACATTGATGTTCTAATGTCCACGTCCATGTTGTCTCCTTCCCTCATCGCTCACCGTCTGTCAAACCCTGCTCACCGTCCTTGAACCACTTGTGACAGCGAAAACCACATGCTCAGCTCATACAAGTTAATCCATAAACAGTACGCGATATTTCTTACGTTTCTGTAGCATTTTGCCCAGTTTAACACAAAACTTTATTGCATAACCAGCTTCTAAATTGTCTTCTCGTCCCGGCTGCATCCTGCAAACTAGTCAGATTTGACAAGCAGGGTGTGTTCAAAAAGCTTTTACAGCCGTCTCCTTCAATCTGGAATAACAAAAGTTGTCAACTTATTAGATATATAGAAATTATATAGTAAATCTACAATAATTTAGGAAAGCTATAATTGCCTCTCCAAAAAGTGTCTCCAGTCATCTTGCACTTTGTGCATATGGTATTGGCTCATCGACTGTGTATGATATAAGCAAACAAAGAGAATGGAGAAAATACAATTTATTACAGACAATAAGTTTTTGAACAAATAGCCATTAGATAAACTATAGTAAGCTGTTGTTGCTTGCCAATTTATAGCCACAATCTGATTACGAATATTGCATTTAGTCCGTTGCATATCTTGTTCTTCTATAGAACTCCAAGTTGTTCATTGTTTGCCACACGCCTTCTCTCACATGGATTCCGGGATCTTTCCAGACCGCGTCCTGTTTGTTTGTTTAACGACATATCAACTCCTTACGGGTCATTTAATGCTGAAATTTAATTTTCTTGGGAGCATTCTTTTACAAAAATGGATTGCTAGTAATATTTGTCTTCCAATATATATTCCTGGTAATTTTTTTCTTTTACAGAAAATTGTTGATAGTATGTTTTTTTTTTTGTTTTTTTTTTTTGTTTTTTTTTTTACAAAAATCTATCGCTGGTAATATTTTTTTAATTTTTTTACAAAAATGAATTGCTGGTAATTTCTTTACTATGAAAATGCATTATGGTCATTTCTACTACAAAAATGTATTTTTATATCCTCAAAGTGTTTTGACCTAAGTTTGGGAGTTAGCTATTTGCCCATATCTGGAACCCTAACTGGTGCTACCACACAGGGTCGATGTGGACCAGAGAACAACAGCAATTAAGAGGTGGTACTACGCTCCTCAGAACCTCCTGATTTGAGGCCTTGCTGCAGTACGTAGTTTATCTTCATACCCAGGACGCCAGACCTAGTCTTGGTCTAGCCATCTTATTGTGGTATCTATATCAATTATAATTTTATTGGCTATCACAAGTTAGGTTGTGCAGATGGTATCATGGATAGCATCTCGGATGGAGAAGTCAGAGAACTGAGTTCGAATTCCGATCGAGCTCGTTGCATTCATCTCTGCATAAATACCCTTGAGAAAGGTATAAATCCATCACCCCGCCCCATCTGTGGGTTAAATATTGTGAATTTTATCGGGAACAAAATTGATATCTCTAAAAAAAAAACTGTAGTAATAGGAACAAATAAATTCCTAAATCACCACCAACCCCTACTAGTAGAATATGTAGTTGTCTGGAAGCAAAATAATTAATAATAAAAGAAAAGTTAAGCAATAGAAATGCTTTAAAATACAGATAAGATTGGTAATGAACAATAAAGAACGAAAAAGTTATATAAATAGTTTAATAAATACAGAATACTCTCAGGTTGCACCATAACAAGCGTTTTACCGCGAAATGAAACAAAATTCAAAACTCTGTTCGTTTTTCGACTGCTGAAATGGGCAGACGTCCTGAACATGTAAAACATGTCATCACCAACAGATAAGCAAAACTTCTTTATTTCTGGATACATACATATTTCTCTGAAATGTATACTCAAGGATTTTATCAGTTTTCACTATGCTTATTTTGCAGTAACTCAATTATTATTTTGTTTGTAATATTGCGATCCCGTTGTGGCACGTGATGCCCTTTTAGCATTATATATATATATATATATATATATATATATATATATATATATATAATTGCATTCAGACAAGTTCAACACCCACCAGAACCATGACAACATGTTAAGGCAATATTCACCCGCATAAAGGACTCTTATTCTTCCCTGGTATAATCTTGAAATATCCAAATTTAATGTCAATCGACATCTGTTATGCCTTGACCTTGATCCCTGTCTTTCTTTTTATCCTTTTCTCAAACACTCCTCTTTACTCTTACTCTCACTCTGTTATCCCTTGCGTGTTAGTGGCACTCCCGCCATGCTTGAGGTGATTTGCTTATAAAAAAAAATAATATGATAACCTATAA